TGAAAAACAACGACAATAAACATCGTTGTCAATGATTGATGCAAATGTCACTTCTATTTTATTGATTAAAATGTTTCTTCATCTCAACCATTAATGATCTATCAAATCAAGACTTGAAGCATCTTAATTAACTTATACATCTATAAACAAATTTCATTGAATATTGACTTCGATCAACAACATAGCCTAGTTTTGCTTTGTTTGAACAGTGTGTCAATAATGTGGCTAAACAGAAGCATACCATTAAATTGCAATAAGAACATCAATCATCGAAGCTACACGTAGGAATGTTTGTACTATCGGATATTAAATCATGCTTTATGAAAGTCTTTGTCTTACAAAAAAAAAAAAGAAAAATGGATTTCTTTATGAGCGATTTTCTTGAATACAATATCTAATTTTGATTTTTCTTTTATCAATGCTGATTTGATAAGAATCTTATCCGTAATAACTATGGATTCATGAATATTATCGATTCGTTTCATCAACATTTGTAATTTTAATGAATATCAAGCAGAAGATAAAAATACTTATTCTTTTTTTTTTTTCTACAGATTCTATAGTTTGCATCGATCAGATGAAACCAATCAGCCATAATAATAATTAGTTTTGACAAGAGAATTTATTTTTAAACCCGTTTTAGTCATTTAGAGTTTCAGAAGTTTATCGTATGGATACAAAAAGAAATATTTCATATTATACAATATGACATTGACTTAGTAAAATACTGATAAGATTAGATTAATTCGACCCGATTAAAAATTTCTATAAGTAATTGTCCAACAAAGCAACTAATTAAAAACGAAAGATACATTTATGTCATCAACTTCTTTGGATAAATGATTTTTTAAAAGAATAATTCTACAGTTATTATATTTCTTTGCTTTAAATCATACTCGCTTAGTCGTTTCTTATAGTAACATCAACAATATTTATAGAAGATTTCTCAAAAAAGTTCTTTTTTTAAGATTGAAGTATGTTTATTATCTGAAAATAATTTGCAACTGAGAATATATAAGTAGACTATTGAAAACATGACAACAAAGACCTAAATGATCCATATTAATTAAAGATAGATGAAAATTCTGCGTGCGCGTGTTTCATAATTCTAGCTTATTGACAACGCAAACAAACATAACTAACCGACAAAATAATTGATACATGTAATCCTTATCGAACTTTCTGTATCTTAATTAAAAGAATATGTTTTAATGTTATTTTGTATAGCTACTCGATAGACTTCAGAGAGAAAATATCTCAAAAAAAATAAAAATAAAAATAATACAAACGAAAAATTTACTTCGTCACACAATTAGCTATAATCATTGGTATGCATTGACATAGAAAAATAGGGCAATATGACTATATGAATAGTTCTTTTGATATTGAGCAATTAAAAACAATTATACATTATTTAATAACATAGACTTCAAGATGTTGCTCCTCACTTTGTGACTAATCAACGATAATTATCTTGTTTTATTTATGTGCATAATAATATGACGAACCGTGTTTTATGCCTATTAATAATTATTATCAAAACATGTATAAGAAATAACATTTTTCTTTCTTTCTTTTTTTTTACCTTGGTAATGATTTTTTAACAATATTTACTAAACGAAAAATAACAATCATTATCGACATATTTTGAATAAGCTTCGATAAAACTTAAGTATATCCATTGAAGAAAAATAAATGGATCATAGTGTGTATATTTTTTTCGACAAAATTATGACCCGTATATGTTTCAGACAGAACAGTAAGTACAGAGCATGCTGACATTGTAATCAATTTTTGTAAATCGTGGTTCAAGGTTATCTGATTATGATTCGTTTATTAATAGATTATGATAATGAAAAACTAACAAATGACAGATACGCTCTTTTGTATTAAAATTACTTTTATGAAAATATGAATTTACACAAGCTATAAGAACTAACATGATTATTATAATCGTTTGTTTCTTGATAAGAAACTAACTGTCAGATTTAGCAGAATGGTTTTTCTATGTTCTTTTGCTTTTTATTTTGTTTTTGGATTAATAATATGTGATGAAATGTTTCTTTAGTAATTAGAATAGATTAATCTGTCGATCGAATTATTATCTTTATTGATAAATTCATCCATAAAAAAATCTTTGAAAAAAACAACAAAAAACAAAAAAGAATTCTTATCTACACTACTGTAACAAGTGTTACATTACTGTTATCTATATATAAGGAAGTACGAGAAGAAAATACATTTATTTTCTATGTTCACAAGAGAAAATATATCCGTAAGGCACAAGTAATTATTAAAGATTTTGTGACGTTAATAAGAGGAAAAAAACAGAGATAAAGATAGAATAGCATATTCTCTTTTTTCTTTGCAGTCAATTTCAAATAGTTGACGTCGTTTATTCGATAAAATAAACAACTGAGAAGTTTTCTTTTCTTTTTTTTTCTTCCTTTGAGCTCATATTTAAACACCTCCACAGTTAAGAGGAAGAATGAGTAATAATAAATAGCCAGTTTTTATATAATAGTTCGTCTTTTTTTGGAAGTTGTTTTGTGTGTTTTTTTTTGGTCTCTTTTATTTAATATTTACGGTGAATCAAGTTATTAATATTTCGTGTAATTGAATTCATTTAATAATTGTTTTTTATGCTTATTTTTACATACATAATAACTGCATTAAATAAGAAATAAAATTCAAAGGTATAAATACATATATTTTTTTTTGTTTTGTTTTATTATTCTTTGCTAAGTACTTCGAAAAAATTTCACTGTACTTTTTTTTTTGTAATCAAGACTTAAGTAGCATACACAATACACTAAGATATATTGTGTAAGTCAGTTGATCGGATCATCAAATTCATCATGAATCGATACCTATTTCTACTATTTTCTTTTTTTTTTTTTGCATGATACTCGATTGAAAGAACTCTATCGCTAACAATGATCATATATGATAGGAAGAAAATAACATCATTTAATCATGCTCTATCTCGTAAAATGAATGAATGCTTTTGTATTCATAATGAAATGCAAACATAGAATTCAGTCTGTTCCAAAAACAGCATTGTTATTAAATAATCGAGTATATTGTTCAATATAACCAGAAGTACTACTGTAATAAAGGAAACTGAGTTTTATTTACGAAACGATTGATCGGCAGTTTTTTCATTAATAAGTGATACTGTTTTAAGATTGGTTTTTTTTTTATTAATTTGGTCAGAATTTCACATGATAGAATTTTTATTATATTCAAATAAAATATAAATAATAATTTTATAGATTACAATGATTATAGTTCAAAAAATCACATAAAATAATATATACAAATTCAAGTAAATAATTTTCTTTTAAATGATTGTTTCCAACCGAGAGAAAATACTTATTTCTCTATATCACCATATGCTAACTGTTCTTTTTGTTCACACTATTTGGCTTTTGAATTATATGAATATTAAAGAAAATATTGGTTTAAATAGTTGTAAACAATACTTTGCACTGAAGAATTTATATCAATTTTTTTTTTGCTGAATAAGACATCTTTCTTTTTGGTCTAGATTTTTTCCTATCATTGACGTTCTTGATCGCTTTGTATCTTAATGGGTATGCACTACGCGTTGTGTTTTCTTGATACCAATGAGAACATTAATGTGCATCGCTTGTTCGTCTTCTTTTTTTTTTTCTTTTTCTTCGCTTCTTTTTTTCATCAAAAAAAAAAAAAAGAAAGAAACGGCAATGTAACATACAGAAACTCGACGACAATATGAAGAGGAGACAACATACGTAGAGTCGTAAAGAGTTTGGAATGCGTTTAGATATTTGGTGACAACGTTCTATGAACATTAAAAAGTTATTATGAACTAGATGACGTTTAATTTTGATAAACATCCATCATTCTCACGCGATAATCTTCCTTTTCAACATCACATGAATTCTACTGGTGAGTGTTAAAATAAATTTCAAATAGGTATATTATTCGAAAAAAATTTTTTTTTTTGCTTTTTTTCTCCGATTCTAGTTGATTCTTTTTTTTTCGTGTTTAACTGTGTTTATTCGATTACTGTTTAAAAAGAAAATGAAGCGATAACAATAGTAGATTGTCAAATTAGATATCCAATGTTGTCTTATTTTCTCAAATAAGCAGTCTGATTCTATTAGTCGGTCGATAAGAATACGAAATATATATAATTTATTCGAAATGTCTTTCATTTGTTCCGGATGTATATAAAATATTTCTTTGCTAGGTTAGCAAATTCTTCTATTTATATTGCATCAAGAAAGTCTTCCATTTCCTTTATCAAATATCTTTTTATATAAAATTATACAGTAACATATCTTATATAGCGATCGTCTAAGACAGTTCTAATGAGATGTATTCATAAAATAGAAGCAAACGAATGTTTGAATGAATTCATAAAATAGCTTTTAGATTTTCTTTCTTTTTTACTTTTCACTCGATATAAAAAGTTGGTTTGTTTTAAAATGAAAGTCATTTCAATGCATTGACAAAAAAGTTTTTTGCATAAAGAGTAAAGTAAAGCAATGAAAAGATTAAAAAAAAACCTACAATAAAAAAGAAAACTCTTTTTTGACGATCGTCAATTTGTTTCTTTTTTAATGCATGAATGAATTCTTCATTTGATTTGCATGGATTATTTATACATTGTTGCCTGTTGAATTAATAACGAAGTGAGTTGGCAAACATTATTGAGTAGGAGTATGTCAATGTAAGGATTATACGACACAATCGTCAATCGTTTTTCTATATTCCCGAGATGCCATTACCCACCTACTCTTTTGATTCTTAAAAAACATATCTTTACCGGTGGAGGCGTAAGCTTAACTAAAAGAAAAAAAATCATTTATTTTCATTTGGTATCCTATAGATTAATAAATGACAAAACAACAATCAAACGTTTATATACTTAAATTTTCATTAATATGAGCTAAACAATGATCGCCGTCGATAAAAGATGGGATCGATTTATCAATAAATCAATTTGAAACATGTCAACAAATGTTATTACAAAAAAAAATTCAACAACATCAACCACCAATACATCTAATACAACATATCTTTCAATGATGACACCTAATGTTTCTAGTACTAATGTCACAAATACTAGCACTAATAAACGACGTGAAGGTTCAACTGGTGAAGATTCCGTAAGTGAAAAATCAAATAATTTATGTTTAGTAAATAGGAATAAAAGAAGAAGCCTAGTTTACTTTATTATGTGATAAAAACACCCTGGTTAGATGATTGCTTGCCTGTTTACTAAATCATTTATTCCGATCGGATGAGCAACTCACCCGGAAATCGGTAGAGAGCAGCACCACCATAGATGAATCAAGGATGTGCGTCATTTCTTCCGGATTTTCTATCATCTCATCTATGCATGCAGAACACGACAAGGTTAAATCACGCGCATCCGCAAGATAGCTTGCATACACACACACACACACACACCCTCATTGCGAATTCTCTCAATCGATCAGCAATTAATGTACTCGTCTTCTCATAAATAGGATTAGGTTTTTCTTGATGAAGGGTACGACGCATCTATATAAATATGTGGGTGGTTTGTTTTTTCTTGTATGCTGCAGGAGATCGCTCTTATTTATAAAGACAATCTTATTTTGTTGCTTTTGAAAGTGTGCATAACATGTACATAAGATTTAGTGTCTCTCATTTAATGTCGTTATTGATGATGAGTGAATCAATAGGATAAGATAGAAAGTAATTATATTTGTATGTACACATTCAAGTTGAGACACAATAATATATATTTATATATATATATATGTGCTTGTGTATTCATTCAATAGGAACAACCATACATGTCCCATCAAATCGAATAAGATATCGATAGACAAAAACAAAAAGAAAAACAAGAATAGATGAAAAATCCTTGTTTTCTCTATTTTTTTTTTTTTGATTTTCTTTCTTTTCATTGGTATTTTTTTTATTCTTATTAATCACTATGATATAGAGAAACTCAACAGCTGTCTTATATCATTAGAATCTAAACTATTATTGTTACTTCAATTATAATTATAACGATTTTTATTATATTGCAATGGCATTACGTGAGAATAAATTAATAGGATTTGTTTTAATTTTGTTTTATTTTTTTTTAAAATGAACTATTTTTAAACATATCAAATTTCATATTACTATTATACTAATACTATCTGCTTAATCTATCTATTAAAAGAGTTCAAATGGTTATATTGACCTTCGTTGATCTAGACGTTTTTATTTTGTCTTCCTCTATGTTACATGCTATAGTCTTATATTAATAGGTTCAAAGAAGAATTACGCTAAATACTAATCTTTTTATCTAGAATATAAAGTATTAGTTTATAGAGAAATGAGATAAGTACTTCTATTATGCTTATTAAAAAAAATAAATATGTGCATGTTAGTCAAAATACAGCATACAAAGAAATATCGATATGAACTTTGTTTTCAATTAAAAAAGTTTAAAAAAACTTCACAACGCTCTTTGCAATAGAGTCATAGTTTAGATTATAAAAGGAAAATGTTTTTTTTTTGTTTTCTTTTTCTCTGTTTTTTTTTTTATATTTTCATTCAATTGTCATATGGGGTACTTTTTTTTGTGAAATATACTTAATAAGCAAAATGACGTGAACATATACATGCGTCATCAATAATTATGGAGTAGGAGGATGAGACAATTATTTTTGAAATGTTCTCTTGAAGCAACGTTTCTTGATGATTATTATCAACATGAAGACTACGGAAACTTACGCATATATAATTCCTCTTTTTTTCCTGTTTTTTTTTTGTCCGAATAAATGATTCCAAAATCCGTCAGTTATATAACACAAGGTTATTATCATTAAAACTAACGCCTTAAGGTTGAGTTCTACTATAGTTCACTAAAAAAAATATGTCCCTTGCTATATATTTAATCCTTATGTCTGCCCGAAAGTCAAACTAATGTTTATAAAATATAGACTGATGTTATTGTTTTTCTTGAAACTTTGCCATTTGTTACTAGCTCATTATCAGATATTGTCTCTCCTTCAAATCAAGGTCTTCCTATAGCCTATTATTAACTTTCGTATATAATACAGAAAAACTGTTTTTTTTTTTCTAATGATAAAAATGTAAGAAGAAGGAAGTAAGAACAACTTTTAAATTTGTGCCTAAAGAAAAAGCAAAGTCACATTCAAGTATATATGATGAATCATATGTACTCTTCGAGTTTCATACTAGGCAAAAAACATAACAATGGCTGTTACACAGATTTATTATCAAATATCAATTTTACTCATTGATTTCTTTTCTTTTGAGTCATGACTATTATCTCAAGGATTTCCCTGCAAACTTTTTCATGTATATATATATATAGATCTATATATATACGTTATGTTTCTTTTTTTTATTAATGAGATACGCTGATGTTGTAATTATTATTAGAGATTTACGTCATTTATTGAACAATGTAATGATTTCTTGTTGACGTCACTATCTAGTACGACTACGACTAACAGAGAAAAATGAAAGACCTTGTTCGCTCGTCCTGGCATACGTTAGTATATATAAATATATAAGCAAATGCTTTGATTTCTTTCTATTGATGGGCTTACATGTGACGTCGATTGTCCGTCGCGCGGTCGATGATGACGTCGTCAAGCGAAGAGAATGAGCGCATCAAAGAAAAGACGACATATAGATTATATACATGCGCGCTTAAGCTTGTATTCGAGTACTGAAGCAAGAGATAGTTTTTTAGCCAATGATCATCATTGAAAGAAAAGAACAGAACTGTGACGTCAAACTAATGCATTTGTTTTCCTTTCTAATGTAATCGCATCTTCATTTGAGACAAAGTGCGTACGCAAGATACAAGCACATTTCTTTTTTTTTCTCTATCTCTAAGTCAGATTTACTTTATTCGTTTATTTTGCTTCTTCTTTTAATAGGGTGTTCAAATAGATCACGATAGTATAATTAAAAATGCTCATCTATCGATAACTAACTCCTCAAATATAGTGCCTTCTTTATTATTATCATCATCATCATCATCATCATCATCATTAACATCAAAAACAATCGGCACAACGACGGCGCCGAATCCCAATTCCGTAACTACTTTTAGTAGCAATAGTACGATGGTCACATCATCGACTCTTATTCCACCATCTGTGGATACTAAAACATCATCATTATTACCTCGTAAAACGTCAAATGCATCAAGTTCAGGTACTTTTTCTGAAGTATCTCGTTCATTTGGTCATGAAGAAAATTCTGCAGATTCATTATATGGTTTAACATCATCATCATCGTCATCCCATTATATTATTAAATGTACTCTAAATACAACAACAACAACACCAACAATTACTAATACAAATACATCATCGATGTCGACTACGTTGCCGACGTTATCACCACCGGTGATATTGACACCACGTGTTAAAGTAACTGTTCAACAACCATCAATAACAACATCATCATCACGTATTGATTCATCAGCTGAATCAATTCCATCATCATCATTTCTTAAAACTCCAACATCAAATATTTTACCTATACTTTCACCATCATCACATACGACAACAAGTGCAGCATCAAGTGCACCCGAATTTTCTATAAGTGGTACATCAAGTATTGATGATTCAGAAGAATTAGCATTATATGAACAATATCTTTCAATATCTTATGGACGACAATCAAATCCTTCACCTGAAATACGTAAAATAACTGTTGACGATGTAACTAAAATACAACAAAGAACATTACCTCGTAGTAAAAGTGAAGCAAATACTTTACCAATAGAACAATCACAATCACAGCAACAACAACAACCACAGCAACGACAACGACAACAAACAATAACTAGTCAAATAAAACCGGTAAGCAAATTTTCTTCTTATGATCTGACATTTTGTTAGATCATTGTTGTTAACCTTCTAGACTATGTTATTGTCTTATTATTAATGTCAGAAATCTGATTGATAGATCGATATTATGATTTAAAATATTGCTATTGTCGTTATTGTATGACTAAAAAAAAGAAAAAACTCATTCATTA